ACCCCCCCCCCCCCCCCCCCGGACAGTGCTACTGACTGAAGGCCATTCCCAAAGGGGGGATATTAACATGTTCTTATGCACAGAAGAATTGTAAATGGGCTGATTCATCAATGTATACTCATACTGTGCCGGAACAACATAGGGGGAACTGCTGCTTTTTCTTTCCTCATCCTTACTATCGTCATTTTTCTCTCTACTTCTTTTGTATGTTTGTCACTCTCTTGTGAACTGCTATTTCCGGGGTGCCTTGTTAGTGGAAGCAATTTTTGTGCTGTTGAAGCTAGAGAGGTGAGCAGAGTAAGCCCTGATTTCGCGTTTGGACTTCTCTTACTTACTTACTTGTCCTTACTTGTCCACTGTGTTGGGGTCACTGCAGTCGGAATATGTCCATCTCTGCCCCCCCCCCCTCTTCAGGACCCCCCCCCTCTTCAGGACCCATCCCAGAGTCTGTCTACGTATAGTCTCCATCATAATCTGGTTGGAGATCCGTCGGACTGGTCCGCACAGATGGCTGTGTTTCCCCTCTCCTCTTTGGATCCCGTTTGGACTTCTCTGCAGACATCCTGTCCTTAATAATAATAGTATATAGCATTTGTATAGCGCATATCCCCGCTCAACAGCAGGCTCTATGGCTTTACACTATATTATTACCCCAGCAGACCATAGAACACTCCGAAACATTCTCAGCTTCCCGGGAAGCATACAGTGCAAGCAGCCGATTAAGCGCTCAAACACTAACAAACTGACAATATCTTGCCCTTGGCGCTCATATGACCTTACGCAGCTGTGAGCGCAGTAAAACCTTACTTAAACTTTTTTTTAAATAAACTAAAAGTAATGTTTAGCCTTTTCACTGCTATGTAGAATGATGTATTCACTTGTGATTCCCACACTGGTTCATGTGGGTTGTTGGTGGATGCTCTGGTGTGTTTTGCTCTTTCTTTCCTATCAAACATCTATCGTTCTTATCTCTCCTCCTCCTTTTTGTGTTTGTTACTCTTTCGTGACATCTCTTAACTTCGGCGCTTTTATGTGACCTGATTGTTTTGCAAGTGCCGTAAAACGCTTACTAAAATTAACTAAAAACAGTGTTTAGCCTCTTCCCTGCTGTGTAGACGTACGTATTCACTTGTGGTATTCCAAGCTGATTCACTGACATTTTTTTGTTCTACTGGATTAGAGAAGTTGGGTTTTTTTGGAAAGCGGTTTTGCAACTTGTATAGATGCTTATTCTTTTTTTTTAAAAGGGGGGGGGGGTATGGGTCTGTCTGCCTTACTTTTTCCCTACTCTAAATTACCATTATTTTGGCGATGTGCTTCTTTATACTCAAACAAACAAACAAAAAATAACAATTCCCTGTCGTGCATTTGTCTATTGTCTACTCGCGGTCGATGATTTGTGTAGTTTTTCTCCTCCGTTCCCATCAAACATCTATAGACCTTTTGTCCACTCCTTCTTTTCTATGTACATTACTCTTTTGTTACCTCTATTCTTCGGCACTTGTATGACCTTATTGCCTTGAAAGTGCCGTAAAACTCTAACTAAAACAAAACAGAGTACGCGAGAGGTTGGAGGGCGCCACTGGTAGTTCCTACTTCTTTTCTTTCCCTCTATTGTTTCTGTCTACCTGTCTTGCATCTTCCCTACACTACATTACGACCGTTATTGTGTCCATGTGCTTCTTTTTTACTCAAACTCAAACTGCCCGTCCCTTTCCCGGCACTAAGTGACAGTTATTTCACCTATGGGCTTCACTTCACTCAGACGGAGCCGACGGGTACAAAGGGCACCACCACACGCCAACTGTTACTGTTCCTCTCATGAAAAAGACCCAGACCTTGAAACTGGAAATATGATATGTAGAAAATGTAGACGTACTTTGACGTACAGACGACCACCTGTCTCCACCTGGGATGCGTTTGATGCTGGTTACTTTTATGAGCTTGACAGTGGCCTGCTCCTTCTACTTCATCTATTAGTGCGTGTGTTCTCTAATTCTGTTTGTGGGTGGTGGGCAGGTGCTCTATTGTGGTTTGCTTCTTCTTTCCTATCAAACATCTATGGTCCTTATCTCCCCTTCTTCTTTTTTATGTTTGTTATTCTCTTGTAACAGCTCTAATCTTCTGGCGCTCTTATGACCTTATGCAGTTGCGAGCGTCGTAAAACCTCTACTAAAACTAAATAACTCTTGTTTACCGGCGGGCTTCGACTTAAGTTGGCTCTGGTAGGGAGGATCAAAGCAGCCCGCCTCCGAAATGGTCTGAATTCTGTTGAAGGGGCTGTACATCATATTTGCAATCATTCCAGTCTTTTATGCTGCAATAATTATAGTCGTATTAGTTCATCGTTCGTAATTAGTAACGCACAACTTAACAACAAAGCAGGTGGCGGAAGAGTGTGAGTTGGTTCTGAAGTTATTGTTTTTTTCGAGTGCTCAATCTCTCTCTCTCTCTCTCTCTCTCTCTCTCTCTCTCAACTCTCTCTCTCTCTCTCGACTCTCTCTCGACTCTCTCGACTGAGGTCTATGCTGTAGCGGTTAGGCGTTTTGTCGTCGCAGGCAAGAGACCCAAGTTCGATTCCTATGTTGGGCACTAGCAGGCAGAGTCGAAACCCACCTCCTTCACAATCTACATTGTGTCGATTTGAGCAGAAAATACGTCTTTATTAGTGTTTTTTTTAACGAAGCCTATATTCTGCTGACTCGGTAACCCGCAACTGATCTCACCTCAGCCTCTCTGACACTCTCCCTCCACCCCAGGAGGTACTGTACTCATGTTGTCGCTCGTCACACTCAATAATCCTTTGATCTGGGAGAAAAAAATAAGCCGAGACCTTGAAATTGGAAATAATATGAAATATGATATCTGCACAGAAAAAACATCGCTCTACGTAGGTGGTACCACTAACAACCAGCTGTGTACGTCAATGCTGGCGCGCCAAAACAAAAAACAAAAACAAATTATGAAATTCTAAAAAAAGGAAAAGGGGGGGGAAAAACGGAACCAAACCATCCTACTACAGAGACATTTCGGTTAGATATGCAAATCGACGGCCTGGCACGTGGGAACCGCGCGGCCGTGTGTATCTCTATATATACCGAGGGCGCCTGGTGGTTGTGGAGATTGTTCCATTCATATAATTCGCGCAGTCGTTGCTTTGGTGGCTTGCGTGCGCTTGGTCGGGAGCTGTGAGTTTGAGGAGCGGGCGGTCGTAGAAGTGAAAGTGAGTAGTTGTGAAGAGGAGTTACATTACTGCAGGTCGCTTTTTCTCGTTCTGTGGTCTCACCGTTTGTTGTGCTGAGGTGCGCTTTTCTTTCTTTTTGAGTTTTGGGTTGTCGGGGTTTTTTTCGGGGGGGGGGGGGGGGGGTTGCTGTTCTTTTTAAAAATCTATTTGCACCTCTTTGTTGTGTGTGTTATTTTTTTTTTATTTAAGGCGTTTTGACATCCCCATCGACACGATAATTTAGATCATATAGGAGGCGGGATTCTGACCCACTGATGATATACTGGATAAAATAATTTTCGGGAATTCGGGTCTCTTGCGTGCAACAGCGAAGTGTTAACCACTACATCAGAGATGCCGATTTTGTAATAATGTGTGTTATTATGTATATATTATATATTGTAATACTATTGTCGTCGTTGTAGTTATAGTAATGATAATTAATTTTTTTTGTTTAAGTTATAGTGATAATAACACATACTAATGTGATACTAATAGCAACAATGATAATAACTTTATTGTTATTATATTGTACTATATTGTTATTGTTATTATAATTCTTTTTGTAATGATTAAAAAGTAAGCATCTTCTTCTTCTTCTTCTTCTTCTTCTTCTTCTTCTTCTTCTTCTTCTTCTTCTTTTTCTTCTTCTTCTTCTTCTTCTTCTTCTTCTTCTTCTTCTTCTTCTTCTTCTTCTTCTTCTTCTTCTTCTTCTTCTTCTTCTTCTTCTTCTTCTTCTTCTTCTTCTTCTTCTTCTTCTTCTGTGGTGGTGTCAGTTGTCTAGGGGTTAAGCTACCAAACATCTAATCTTGAGATAACCGTTTCGGAAGTTCAGCTCTGTCCAATGTTGTGCTCTTGCCGAAATCAAACTTTGAAAAAGCGGATTGATTGAGGACGCCCTTCTTAAGCACTACTTATTTTCTTTGCCTCTGTTGGTTTAGTCTATTTGTTTTGCTTCTTTCCTGCACTAAATGGCCGTTATTGTGTCGATGTACTTCTTTTTGCTCACAAACTTCAACTCACTAGTAACGCCTCTAATCTGCGACACTAATATGACCTCTTGGTGCTGCTAGTGCCGTAAAATTCTTTCTAAAACTAAACAAAAACAGTTATAATAGGCCAGTTGTTTAAATGTACTAAGCACATTTTTTTTTCTCCATTCCAGTTCCGTAATCGATTATATCGGTTCGCATGTGGTCAAGAAATATTTTGTCTAAATTCGTATTCGAAATGTTGAAAAATGTAATTTAGGTACAGTTGGTAAACGAATAAAACAGTGGGACTATTTTCTCTTGTGGAAATAATGTATTGCTTTCTGGGCTTCTAACATTTGAACAACGGCTTACCGAAGATATGATTATGACCTTTGGGTTGCAGGCACCATAAAACTCGTACTAAAACTTATCTTAAAACCCTATTTTCTTGTTTTGTTTTTCTTGAATCATGACAATTTGCACAGTGTCAACACATTTTTAAGTAACCTACAAATATCAGCACCAAAATCAGGACAGTGGGGGAAAAAACCTTAATTTTTAAAACTTTTTATACTTCCAGTACACCGTCCAGTGTGTGTCTGAACCTGTCTGCTTTTAACGGGACAGTTCCGCTCAACGAGACGTGTCTTCCGGTGGAGTTCAACGATACTCTCCAACACCAGGTCAAGGTCGTGCTGAACGAGAGCGGCTGGAGTGACGTGCACTTCTTCATCTACAACGACGTCAGTCGGATACACGTTGTGAAGTCGTACTACGGATACGATCCGGGTGAGTAGCAGTCTGGGTGAAGCGGTGAAGTGGATGGGTTTAACGCCCCTTTCAGCACTTATTTATGTTATGTAAGAGGCGGGGCCTACGAATTTAACGTCTTATCTCCGAGACGGCTGAGCCAAATGGGTGGGGGATGGGGGTCTTATTACGCTCCCAGAGACACCACATATGTTATTCAGGAGGCGGGCTGCTTCTTGTACATCTCAGCAGAAAGACCAGACTCTCGCTAAAATATTGTCTGCCCTGTTCTATATAGGAATCGAACTCGCATCTGTTTCATGAGAAAGGATAAGCATTACCGTCACATCACGAATGCTTGAGAGAGAGAGAGAGAGAGAGAGAGAGAGAGAGAGAGAGAGAGAGAGAGAAAGAGAGAGGGGGGAGAGAGAGGAGAGGGGGGGGGAGAGTAGGGAGTAGTTGCTTTAATTTAATTGCTGTTTAGCGGAATAATCTCATTTCTAATGGCTACACAATATTTTCTCTTCGAAGATGGACCGTGCATATCAAGCTCATCTGTAAGCTCGCTCGCTCGCTCGCTCTTCTATACAAAAGAATTCGTAATTGTGGTCTCTGTAAACGATGTATTTAATGTGATATCGATTGCCAGTAGCCATTTGTCAGATCACTCCGTGAAAGTCTTTTATCGTGTAGATAATGTGTGAAACGGTTGTGGCGACCACAGCCGTAATGGAAAGCAGTTTTTTTTTTCCCGGAGGACGCTGACTCTTTATTGACAACAGCTGTTGTTTATGCTTAGTTGAGAGTGGTCTGGCCTTCTCCTCTTCTTTTTTTTTTCTTCCCTTTTTTGATCGTTTGTTCGTCCAGGGTTGGCTTCTCGACTTAGATTAATCGTGTCCTCATCCATAGACATGAATTGATTGGAGAGCGAAAGAAAGATAGGGAGGGGCGGGGGGGGGGGCACATATACACAAATAATCACACAAATAATCACACACACACACACACACACACACACACACACACACACACACACACACACACACATACGCACGCACACACTCTTACACATACACTGATACAGAGAGAGAGAGAGAGAGAGGGGGGAGGGGGGGAGGGGGGCGAGAGATGGGAGAGATCCGTTTGAGTAAATTGTACGATCACACAAAGTATTCCGTAAAAGAGAAAAGAAAAAGACGGACAGTTAGAAAGCAGATAAATTTAATTTATAGAAAGCAGAGTTTACCCTTAGATTTCTTCTATCGCAAGAGAGTTAGTGAGAGAGGAGAGAGGGTGGTGGGGAGAGAGTGTGTGAGTGTGTGAGAGAGAGAGAGAGAGAGAGAGAGTGTGTGTGTGTGAGAGAGAGAGAGAGAGAGAGAGAGAGAGAGAGAGAGAGAGAGAGAACCACGTGTGTGTGTGTGTGGTTGGATGGGGGTTGGGGGAGGGGGGCATGGTGGGTGAGGGGGGGGGGGACTCTGAAACAAATGCTGGCATTGTCACTTGTTTGAATGAAGGACCGAATGTGGACAAGATTTAGAGAATTAGAAAAACTACGTATAACACCAGTTATGTTTCCCGCGGGAGTTCTTAAAGCTTTCCCCCTGTATCTACTCTGTTGTCAAATCAGTACCGTATGGCCGGAGGATGGAAACAGAAATCATGACTTTGTCTTGTAAAAGATGTAAAAGAAAACACGTTTTATTGTTATTATCCTTTGGGAAATTAATGACATTGGCCTGCCTCCAATATAATATGTTTATTTTCTTTTTGCTTTTTGAGTATGTATGTATGTGTTATTGTTTTGAAGCAGCTCAGTGTCGCCAGCTGTTATTTATGTACAAATCATTGCCGTGGGATGTGATTTTGGCAATTTATCTGGTTTGCATTAAGTGCTTGCCATCTGCGCCCCATGGAGAAATATATATACATTGTATATAAATATATATATATATATATATATAGATATATATATATATATATATATATATATATATATACATACATATACAAGCAAGCAACCAAAAAGAACAGCAGCCGCTGTCAAATGCACGTTTCCAGCATTTAGACATGTATGGAAAAAAACATCTGATAGGGGCCTACGTTTCTGGCTCGGAATCAAAAGGTTCCAGTAACCATGTGTTACTGCTACAGATGGCACACATTGCATGCTGGAGCCCCGAGCTTTCTTTCGGTGCTTTCAGGTGTTGTTTGTTATCGGTTCAAAGAGTTGACCAAGATACATGCACACTGTCTCAAGAGTTACCATTGAGGTGTTTCAAAAGGGTAGAAATACAGTTGGTAAAGATTTACTTTTGTTTGATCTAGAATACATGTTTTTGCTCATGATCAGATACTTCTCAAAATCGGTGTTATGTTACTGTTACCATTTTTACCTGCACATATTTGAATATTTAAATAAAATATTTCTGGTTCTAATTAAGCTTTACTTGAAAGTTTTGTTTGTATTTATTTTTCTTGTGGGCATTGAAGCATTATTAATGTTCTATGATAAACGTTGATTTCCTTTCCTTAATGTCAGTTAATTTTTTAATGTCATTTTATCTCCAGACTCCGTCAACGTACCAGCGTTGATTCTGCCCACAGTATTTGGCGTGATTGGAGTGATCATTGTACTCCTTGGAGCCGCCTACATCATGCGTCTCAGAAAAAAGCCTCACGTGGAAGTGGCCGACTTCGACTTTCACCCCTCTCTGACTTCCACCACACAGTCGGAGCCCAACATCAGAATATCGAGACTCACAAACAGTTTGAAATACATGTTCTCAAGGAACCGACCACAAGTGCCACTTAAACAGCGCGAGCCAACGGCTCAGGCTCCTCTGAAAGATGACGCTTCGACTGAAGTGAAGAATTTTTATGACAGTTTGTGAAGATATTAATGCATGTGCAAACAAGTCAGAGGCCCAGAGCCAGAACGTTCCATCAACAGTGATGAGGAATTGCAGATGGGCCATTGTGGCCCTGGGCCTGTGAAGTCCTAAATAATAAAGTTCAATTTCAGGGAAAGTTTTGCTACCAAAGTAAGATTTTTATATAATATATTAAATCAACCACCCCCATCCCCCCCCCCCCCCCCCGCTGATGGCAAATGTACTGAAATGGTTAATTTTTGTGAATGACAGATTTTCATGTCTTTGCATCTTGTTTGAGCACTGTTACTGCATTGCATTTTGTGAAACTGAATCGTGTCTTTTGATGATACTTCTTTTCATTAAAGAAGCGATGTGAGAAGGATGAAGTCTGCTTTGAAAAGTCAGAGACAGGGAACTTTTAATTTACTGACTTCCCTTGTTTACAGCAGAATTAATACTTTTTGGTAGTACTTTCAATGGAGACAAGAGTTTGAATTTGTAATTTATACAACATTTGTGAAATGTTTCAAGACTGTAGTGTAGCTATTTTGTTTTATTTCATAGAAGTTTAATATTTGTCTTTGTTACATCTTAACAACACTCATTTGTATTTGTGCCAATCATGTCTGAAGATTTTGTTCCCATGTGTATTGTGCTAGTACTTTGATTATGATATGAAAATAATGCGGATGTTGTGACTTGTCTGTAATTTGATTACACACACAGGCGCTCTGCAGATGTATATATATTTAGCATCCAGCATCATTCTCATATATTGCCATGGTTTTTGTCAATTTTTGAAAGGTTATTTATAAAAATACATACATATATATTGTCATGCCATGAACCAATCCTAGTCATCACATTGATTATGATATTGCTCAAGTTACACATACTGTATACAGTTGTTTTTTTTAATGCGATTTATAAAGTAATCTGTAAATTCAAGTTGTTCACAAAATGTTTAAAGGATTCTACTGCATTAGATCCCAAAAACATACATGACACTGGGCGACTCAAATCAAGAATTCGAAACGTTCATGCTTAATGAATGGGCAATGCTAAAAAAAATTGTTTTAATTTTAAAAAGCAAGTGAAAAGACTCGGTGTACAGTATGTGTATTGCCTCAAGTGACCTAACTTTCATGACATACTTGAAATTGTGGAATCAGTTGGTGCTTTTTGCTTTATGAAGAGCAGCAAGTGTTTTTTTTTTGGTAATGAGATTACTAGCAATATGTTTCTATTTGTTCATCAGTTTCCCTTCCTCCTCATCAGTATTAAGTTAGCAGAAGTGTAAACATAGCATGGTGTGCTGTGGGCTATGAACGAGGGTAGGTACAATCCTTTTTATTGGAATCAGTAAAGAGCTCTAAGGAATGCTCTGTTTCTAGACAGTGGCTGACTTATTTAATATGGAACTGCTTTAAAAGATTACCTGTTCTCTGATTTTTTTATTCTCTTTGTAAGAACCATTCATGTTTGTTTTGTTTGAGAGATTTCCATGTTGATGGTTCCTCATATGAAAAAAAAGCCCAAGAAATTTATAGCATAATCTCTACATGACACTGTCTTTCATGTTTCAACTGTCCACTCCTGGCTATACATTTTGTCGTGTAAAATACTGTGAACAAATAATGATTTTAAATCCTGTACATACTTTTCCATTTGTTTTTACAGCTCTCCTTCGTGTGAAGACTTCTACAAAGTGTCAATCTCATTTCTTACGATGAATATTTCATGCTCACGCTCACTTTCAATATTGCTTGAGTCATATTTTGAGCTCAGTCGTGTATTTCTCTATGGTGATGGGGAGAGAGCACAAAGTACTTCTGTCTGAGTCAGGTGCTTGCACTTTTCTCAGCTCAGTAAAGATGAAGAAATATATGATAAAAGTGAAGTATAGCCCCCGTGCCTCCATTTTGAACAGTTTGACCTAGTACTAGTATGGGTCACCATTGGGAGAGTGGGGGGTTGTCATAGTGGGGTTTACAGCTATATCTTCTGGGAATATAGCTAAATTGTATACGTCGTGATGTAGGAAGATATCGGGGGTTAAACTTTACTTTTACCAGAAGTATTATTGAACTGGTGGGAGTTAAAGTTTGTTTCTGGGCATTAGATTATACTTTTGCCTGCGCTCTGAAACTCTACTTTCATATACGCTCTTGCTACTTAAACTAATGTGAATTGGCGTTTCAGTTTACCCACTCCCTCTTTCAGTTTCAGTAAATTGTTTCTTGTTATTTTTCTATACCAATGATGAATTTGTGGGCTCAAAGTTGTGGAGTTCTGTTCGCAACAGCGAATGGAACCTTTTGTCTCAGGGCTCGCTTTGTTGATTTCTTAATGAATGAAATTAAAAGTTTTGATGAAGATTTATACATGTTGCCTTCCTAATTTTGTTCTTTCTCATGTGTTGGTACAGAAGAAAGTACTTATAACTGCTACTTTTCATCTGTTCTTGGGACTGGAAACAAATCTGTCACAACACAGTGCAGTCAAATGCTCATTAATTTTTTGGAATAGGAAGTTATTGAATTTGTCTTAAATCTTCATTTATTTGTCTTTATTTTTATTTTTAAAAGTACCCAGGTTTCTCAAATGGAAGTCGGCATATGTGCGATAGAATGAGGTCGGGCTTGCCTAGTGTCTGAGATACATTTAGGGAGACAGCGACTGACAAAGTTTGATGACTCCGAAAGGTTGAGTGTCCTTGGAAACTGGAAATATGTTTTTAGCGTTTGATGAACGTTTCTTCAGTAGAATCCTAAAATAAATGGGCTTTTAAATGGACATAAAGGGTGTTTAGTCCAAAAAAAAGTGGATAAAATTTGCCCAATGGTCGGAAAAATTTTGGTTTCTTCAATTTCATCATTTTGTCGAACACCTGATTTCCCCAAGTTGCCTCACAATTTTACTAGAATTAGGTTATAAAAGCTAATAGTCTGTGTCCCTCCTTTTCGGTTTCTTTCCTTAGATACATTTGTGCATATTCTTTTTGAAGGGTTTCAAGAAAGATACAAGATAGAAAGAACATCTTCAACTAACTGTGGAGATGGATGAAAAAGAATGTCATATAAAGAGTATTACATAAAATGTTAGAAGTATTATTACATTTAATTATATATTTCCTCTACTCCTAGATGTTTGCTTTTTGCTTTTTTTTTTTTTTTTGGGGGGGGAGCAGCTTGTATTTTGATGCTTCAGTGCTACCCATGCCAACTTCCATATTCAAAAAAGGTAAAATGACACATGAAACCTTGCCTGGCATTGTGCGAGACCAGTATGTGCCTAAGAGCTGTAAAATAGAATCTATTGTGTTTTCTCAAGATATGAGAACAATACGTTTATTTCCCATTCAGGGTTCATGCAAACTAACTGCTATAACTTAGGTGGATTCTCATTTTAAAGTCATTTTTAAGCACATGAATTTGTTGAATACAGTGGTACTTTCACAAAGTATTGTATATGCTCAAAATAAATTTTAAAATTCATAACCTTGAGTACACGAAAAAAATTAATTAATTACCATCTGCTAGTGTTGTCATGCACTCTCCTCTTTCATCTGGTGACTCGCTCTCATGTTTATGTGCTCACAATGATTGTAGATCTGGTATTAGCCTGTATAGTTGTAGAGTTAATAGGATCCAGTGATACAGAGGCTTGGTGTGTGGCTCTAGTCGACCGTCACCTTGTTCTCAACTTTCCTATCAACTGGAATACACGAGCCTGTACACTTTTTAACTTAGGGTCTGTTATGTGATGAGAGCTTCCATATATGAACACATTCATGTGTTCAAACGCATACATATACCTCCCACATGCGTGCACACATACACACTCACACACACACACACACACACACACACACACACACACACACACACACACACAA